AGGAGACTCGCTTGAGCCCAGGAGTTGGAGGTTGCTGTGAGCTGTAATGCCACGGCACTCTACCCAGGGGGACAGCTTGAGGCTCTGCTTCAAAAAAAAAAAAATAAAAAATAAAAAAAAAAATAAAGGGACTCCTCTTTAAATTTGATTTGTCTGGTGGTGTGATCTTGACTCCTGGGCATAACACACTCATTGAATTATCTTCTAAGGAGAAATTCTTGTTTTAATTCCCCATGAGATCTTAAGTAAAAAATTTCAAACCCTGCATTCTTCTAATTTTAAAAAGGCAGATAATAATTGAGGGCATTCAAGGATTTCCTTCATGTCTTAGTAGCAATCATCTTCTATGCAAATACTAACTTAGGGGAGGACAGGGATTTTCACGTACCTGTGAAAAGAGGGCGTTTTAAAGGTCATAAAGAACGCTACGGTCGGTAGGTTCATCTCATTGGAATTTCTCCACTGGCCACAAGAGCCGGTCACTTTCAGGCCTTGTGACTGGTAAGGTCTTGATCTTTTAATAATTCGGAGGAAAGTCTACCGAATTCCTGTCTCCCGTTTTATCTCTTGTCAGCAGTGCCCACTTTTCACCAGGCGAGGGCAGAAAAGGGACACCTAACGGCCTGTCCCCAGGCGCTGGGGAGCCGTCTCCGAGGCAGGAAGAGGCAGACTCTTCCCCGCAATCAACCGCCCAAGGCCAGGAGCGTCCTTGCACAATGTGATAAAGACGGACGGGTGGGGCTCACGCCAGTAATCCTGGCAGTCTGGGAGGCCGAGCTGGGAGGATCTCTTGAGGTCTGGAGTCCGAGGCTGGAGTGAACTGCGATTGCTCCACTGTACTCCAGCTTGGGCGACAGAGCCAGACCCTGTTTTAAAGAAATATAAATTAGTAAGCATAAGTGTTCCCCCTGAGAAAGAAGGAATCAGAAAAAGGGTAAAGTGCTCCAAAGGGAAAGCAAAGGAGGAACCAGGAAACAGTTAGTGACGCTCACTGCTGGCAGCTATCTGTCCTGAATTGTATTCCCGTCACCAAATTATGTAACAGTGTCATTTAAAAAATGATCCCGATGCAAAGCAGATATTCTGAAAGGAACTTTTTAAACACACATTGAGAGAATGAGACAAAAAGCCAAGGAGATGCTGTGTGAGAAGACAATGTAACTATGGAACAGAAAGGAGATCTTAGGAAGGGTCGATTTCTAGTTCTATAAGAAATTTAGGACTATGTTAGACTGTGTGAACCAGACTTTGGGGAGTCATTTATTTCATGCACTTTTTTTTTTTTTTTTGATAATGACCAACCAAACTGTTTTTAACATCTAGGGCTGGATTCGCACTAAATGAAATGTCTCTTTCGAGCAGCTTGTCAGATTTAGGGATGATTTATTTATTCATGTATTTATTTGGGGGTCCAGGTGTCAGTGGAAGGAACAGGCATGGGGGTGGGGGATATAAAGTTAGTAGCGTGGGGGTCCTCTCCTCTCGGCCACTTGTTTATGGGAGACCTCGCCAGGTCATGGAACCCCCAGGCCCGAGGGCGGCAGGGGGGATCCAGAAATAGGGTTAGCCAGGGGGACGCCAGCCCAGTCCGGGTGTCCGGCGCTCAGGGAGTCTCCGCGCAGCCGCGCGGGCCCGGATCGGAGGCGGCGCTGCTCTGGGTCCCTCCCACCCGAGTCCTGCCCTTGGCCCCATCGCCCTCCGGAGCCGGGAGGCGGAGCCGCCCGAAGAGTTAAACCGGAACGGAGGCCCGGCCCTCCAGTTCTGCGCCGCCGCCATGGACCAGTCCCGCGCTGCCGTCCGCCTGCGCACAGTGCTGGGACACCTTGGTGGCCTCCCGGCCGAGGCCGTCGTATCCTTTGGGCTGCGCGGAGATCCGGCCGGACCCGTTGCCGCCACCGCCGTGCCAGTGGAGGTGGCCCCGGCCAGCCGGGTGGCTCCAGGGCGCACGGCACTGTCGCCGCGCCGGCTCTGCCCCTTCATCCTCTCGCCAGTCCCCGCAGTGGTGACAGCTTTTAAGGGAGCCCAGAGGAACGGGGAGGAGGCTGCATTTCCTGGTGCCAATAGCCCGTGAGTCCCCAGTGGACCCTTGCCGAGTCAGCAGGCGTGTGGCCGCCCTGGCTTCCGGGGCCTATTCGGGCCTATTCGGCGTCTCTCCGCCCTTCTGGGCTCACTTGGGGTCTGTGTTGCGCTTTTCACGCGTGAACAGTGAGGATGGGCGGTCCTCACGAAGGACCCTGCCATTTCAGCTGCCTTGTCATTTTCTGCCCTTAGCCATGCGTGACCTCCGCAGCTGCCCAGGCACTTAATGTCCAGGCACAGTCCCACTGTCAGCAGGATCAGAGTTGCCTGGAAGAAACCCAGACAGTCAGGCGCGCGACAGGGGCGGGCTTTCCAGGGAGAGGCTGGGGACGCCAGGCCTTCGTGACAGAGCTGGACAGGCGCTACCATGGCTGGCCTCCCCGGGCGCGGTGTCCTCGCCTTCCTCCGCGCCTTTGGCATTGTCGCCAGATTATCTGCAGTCATCATTTAAGAAGTGGTAGCGTGCTTCTGAGAAGTGAATTTCCCAGAGAAACTCTTTAAGCTACAGAAACAATGAGATCAACACAACAAGAGAAACCACTCGGGGCTGTGTCAACCTGCGGGGACCTGCTAGAATAAGACACCTTACCAAAAGAATTTCTAGTTCTTTAAGATCTTTTTTTTTTTTTTTTTTTTTTTTTTTGAGACAGAGCCTCAAGCTGTCCCCCTGGGTAGAGTGCCGTGGCATTACAGCTCACAGCAACCTCCAACTCCTGGGCTCAAGTGAGTCTCCTGCCTCCGCCTCCCAAGTAGCTGGGACCACAGGCGCCCGCCACAACGCCCGGCTATTTTTTGGTTGCAGCCATCATTGTTGTTTTGGCGGGTCCGGGCTGGGGATTCGAACCCGCCACCTAAGGTGTACGTGGCTGGCGCCTTAGCCGGTTGAGCTATAGGCGCCGAGCCAGTTCTTTAAGATCTTTAAAACTATGCTTGACTGGGTGGAACATGCTGTTCTTGGAGCCATCGTTTATTTTACAGATTTTTTTTTTTTTTTTGAGACAGTCTCACTTTGTCGCCCTGGGTAGAGTGCCCTGGCGTCACAATTTTATAGACTTTTAAAAATGCCGGCCAGTTTCTAATACTTCGGGCTGAAGTCCCATTAAATTAAACACCTGTTGTGACTAGCAGGTGTTTCTCCCTTTAAAGCTGAACCTTTGAATTTTTCCTCGTTCAGCAGTTTAGTGGAAGGGGCAGTCCCTTCCATACTTGTGGAAAAAGCAAGTATGAAGCTATGAAATGAAGTGTGGGTCAGGTCCCCTAGGTGACTGAGCCCTCCAAGCCTGGGTTTCCCACTCCGCTCAGTGAGGGTGGTAAGAAAGCTTTGGATCTTCTCACCACCTCCTCGGCCATTGTGAAAACGAAATGAATAGAAGTAACAGGGCCTTAGCATCAAACTAAATTGTCTATTTAGGAAAACTCCTTTCTTAGGAGAACCAATCCAGGGCAGGCTGTTGTTTCTAGTAAAGTTTGGCTCCTATATTTTAAATTATTTGCCTTAATTCACATCCTAGGTAGCTCACCCCACTTCAGGGACTATTTCTTCTGCGGGTTTCCATCCTCAGACCTTCCAGTAAGTAGATTGAATTTTAATTTTGGAGTATAATATGTACAGTAGATAAAAAGTTTTTGGAATGGTTGCTAGAATAGAATATGTAATACATGGCTTAATGAGGATTTATCAGGTAAATCTCCTGTTTCCGGGATTTATTCTAATTACTACAATTGTGAAAAATGTTGAAGACCCGGACTTTAATTTTACATATTGAAATTTCAGAAGGAAGGAAAAATACCAGAAAATACATAATCTGACTTTTAAAAATCCAAGCATGATATATTACTTTTAAATTAGCTTGTCGTTTATTTGTATTGCCCCACTGGCTACCATCTCTGAGTTTTCTTGAATCATCATTATAGGGGAAGACTTTGATCTTCCTAAGTCTTCTCATACAGCCATGATTTCAATTGTAAGGAAAGAATTGGGTGATCTGAGTTTGTGGGTATGCTGTACACTTATTTGGATTTTGTTATTCTGATTACTTTTGAGAATGCATCAACTGGACAATTAAAAATATAAAACTTACTACATTTGTTTCCCACCTGAAAAACCATATATATTTATCACAGAAAAATCTTAAACATCAGAGAAGTAAAAGAAAAAAAGTTTTCTTTTAAGACAGGCTTCCTGACTAGAGTGCCATGGCATTATAACTCACAGCAACCTCAAGTTCTTGGGCTCCGGATCCTCTTGCTTCAGTTTTTCTATTTTTAGTAGAGATGGGATCTCGATATTGCTCAGGCTGGTCTTGAACTCCGGAGTTTAATCAATCCACACACCTTGGCCGCCCAGAGTGCTAGGATTACAGGCATGAGCCGCCTCCCCTGGCCAAGACCAATTTTTTAAATTTTTCCTAATTCCATTACTGAAAGACAATCACTTTTTCATATTTGCAGAGGGCGTCAAAGAAGTGTGTACACATATTAAGGAAAAAACTGTATTAAATCTGTAATACTCAAGTCACGTTTGACTTCTGCAATTATATGAGGTGCTCAAGGTGACTTGTCATCTTTTGTTATTGGCACATATTATTATAATTTTAATACAGTTTTTTTCCTTTCTTAAAATGTGTATGTATCTTTTTTGCACCCCATCTGTGTATGTGTTTTTCTTTTGTTTTTTGTTTTTGGTGTATTTCTTTGCAGGCTTTCCCCCCAAATACTGTCTTGGTTTTACATCTTTATAATCATATTTTATTATAATAAGCATTGTCCACGCTATTACATGCTTTTCATTTTTAGTGCCTGAATCATGTTCTAGCCAGTGGATATAACTTCATTAATTTTCTTCCACTAATGTACATGTTTTGGGTGACCATAGGTAGTGTTTCGAACTTAAACTTTCTTTTAACTTTTCAGATTGTTTCCTTAAAATCTTAGATATAGAAATACCGAGTATGGCTCTTTCTGCCGCCATCTTGGTTCCGGGTTCCCTGCACAACATGCCTGGTGAAGCCACAGAAACCGTCCCTGCTACGGAGCAGGAGTTGCCACAGCCTCAGGCTGAAACAGGGTCTGGAACAGAATCTGACAGTGATGAATCAGTACCAGAGCTAGAGGAACAAGATTCCACACAGGCAACCACACAGCAAGCGCAGCTGGCAGCGGCAGCTGAAATCGATGAAGAACCAGTCAGTAAAGCAAAACAGAGTCGGAGTGAAAAGAAGGCACGGAAGGCTATGTCCAAACTGGGTCTTCGACAAGTTACAGGGGTTACTAGAGTCACTATCCGGAAATCTAAGAATATCCTCTTTGTCATCACAAAACCAGATGTCTACAAGAGCCCAGCTTCAGATACCTACATAGTTTTTGGTGAAGCCAAGATCGAGGATTTATCTCAGCAGGCACAGCTAGCAGCTGCTGAGAAATTCAAAGTTCAAGGTGAAGCGGTTTCAAACATTCAAGAAAACACACAGACTCCAACTGTACAAGAAGAGAGTGAGGAGGAAGAGGT